TACCAGAAAGACGCGTGGATGAGGTGAGAGCTGTTTGCCATTTGGCGGAAATTGTTTTTTTTTTTTTTGTTCCTCAATATAAACATTCAAAGGGTATATATATATATATTCATTGATATCCCCCTAAATAAATAGTATACTCTCCTAACAGTATTAGTTTTAAAGATTATTTACGAAAATAGCAAAACCGTAAATAAATAGATATTTGTTTCTTTCATTTTTTATGTAAACATAACGAATTTTGAGTATGTTTTAATTTAAACAAATCTATTTTATCCGTCGACACGACACGACACGACACGTTAATTTTGAGTATGTTTTTTTTTTCTATTTGAAGATTTTAATTTATAATATTCATTGAAAGATATTACACAAATGGAACGAAACCCGAAAGAGGGGGAGTGAAGCCCAAAAGAGAAAAACAAATCTCGGACGAGAGATACTTACATACACGTAATTAAGCTAGAATTGAGCAACTAACATAACTACGCGTGGATAAGATAATTAACATCCAAATGAAGAATGCGATAACTTGAAGAATACTGATCCAAGGAGAAGTGGTAGGTAGACGAACCATAGAGCCTTATTCGTCTTGAAGGAGAGATAGCGGACCTAATCCCGATCTATTGCTCGTGTCCCATTAAAACAGAGATAAGGTGAGTCAAGGGCATAAGGATCCGATCCAAACCTTGCCAAAGAAACTCCGATTAAGCGAACTGAAATTAAAACCGGAGATCAATGGTCCATTGGTTGTTTGAAACTCGAACCAGAAGTCACGGCCGTATCCTTGAACAAGAGAAATTAGCCAGCAAACCCAAGCATAGAAAATGCAAAAGGAACCTAGACCAATACCGATGTATTCGAATGCATAAGCCTTAACCCAAAGTCATATACACACACGAACCATAATCAGAAGACCACAAAACCAAAGAGAGTAAGAACAACTAATTCCGAACACAGCCAAGGAGGAGAGACGGAGACAAGATCTCGAGTATGTTTTAAACCGTAAATTAACACGTCATCTATTGTTTTTTTAGTACGCCAAATTTTCAATATTTTACTATCCAAGAAAATAAAACAATAAATAATTAAGAAATTCAAAATTCTTTTTTTTGTCGAAAAGAAATTCAAAATTCATGAAG